TGCTTTAGAAATTGTATCCGTTTCCAAACCCAAAACGTTTCCATCTTTCCAACCATTGCTTTACATCGGTTACGAGAGAATTTTGAAAACTTGTAAACATGAGTTAATTTTGGACTTACTGGTAAACAAATATTTTGACACCAATGGAAAAGGACAAGGTTTTTAGTTAATAAATTAAAAAAGCTGATAACATATCTACGTCATATCCTACTATAATATTAAGCAATTATTTTTAAAAAGTAAATTCCGTAAGTACATCATTAATTAGCATGTTAATTTGGCATGCAGTGTTGAAAATTCTTATTGTTAGCTATACATAATTACTTAGTCACAGAGTGAAAAATGGATTTAATAATAATAATATCGTCTCAACCATAAGTGGTAATAAAATATATCCGTGTGATTAGTATAATTGCTCTAATGCAATGCTTAGAAAAGGATCAATTTTATGTTTATGTGTTTCCAAAAAGTATTTCGAATGTACATGAGAATGAATTATACTTTACGCAAGGTTTTAATAACCAATAAAAAAGTTTTTGAAAAGTTTGTACTTTTGTTTGGTATACAATAACATTTGTTGTACAATGCTGGCATTACATCTGCCGTAAAACTAATAGAAGTTAGTATTTTACATTATTTCCAACAACAGTTACGCGATTTATATCGTCACGTAAATAAGTTTTAAACAAACAATAAAAATGTTACAGAATTACATGGAACAATAAATTTTAAGTTTAGGTCATGACGGTAATATTGATTATTGTTTCTTTTAAATGGATCGTTTGTGCTTAGCTTTCTAGTAAATTAGTTTTTATTATTACTCTTAAATCAACGAAAAATCCATAATGAAACTAGCAAACGCATAGAACTAAAGAGACCTTCGCACTGTTATGCAATAAATCTTCATAATATTTTATTGTGCAACAGTTTTAGACATTTTTTTCGTTGTTTATCATAAATGAACCTGCGCGAACGTCCACTGCTGAACAGATCCCCTTGTTTCCAGCCCCAGCTATCATGTACCGCTCTCATTCATCTCATTGAAGTCGTTGTTTCTCGCCTTGACGCTTGTTGTTAGTTTCCTGACGCTTCGTTTGTTCTAACATCGTCTCCGCTATAGGTTTTTTTATACATTGACTACCTGTTAGAGTATATTTCAACTGTAGTGGCGGAAATTTTTAGGAACAGTAAAGCCTCACCAAACAAAGCAGTGGCGTTCCAAAAAATACTTATGATTTAAATTAAATTGTTAGATAGGTACACACAATGTATTAAACAATGCTATTAGATTATATTTTTGGCAATATTGTACTTCATCTTATTATAATATTCACATACATATATTGTCTGTACGTGAAACCATAGATACGTACTACAGATTACAGTATTACTAAATATTAATTACAAATATTGTTTTACCTTTAAAACCTCTATTATTTATATTATTACTCACTTAAAAGTCACAAAGTTAAATAGAAGGAATATACGAAATGATTGTAATAAAGTAAAAAAATAATACATACATACAGTTTGGAAAACATATTCACATAGGTTACATAGGTACATCGTATGTTAAATTATATTATTCACTTTCATAATCAGATGCACTGTCGTCGTCACTAGAATCATTTATTAAATCAATCGTTAATTCTTCAGTAATTACATGTATGCGACGTTCACTTTTCAAATACTTATCTTCAAGTGATGATGACCTTGACAACATGTTCACACACTTTCTTTCAGTTATCTACAATTACTCTAGTAAATTCCTGTTCCACCAACACTTTTACGTCTTCTAACTTAAAATTTTGTTTTGCAACTTCATTTTTTGTTTGCCACCAAACCATTTCTATAGGGTTTAAGTCTGGATGCTATGAAGGAAGTTTTAAAGAAACATGTCCACATTCTTGCAGCACTTTGTCAAATGTATATTGAATATAATCTTGTTTGTGTCGTTTAATGATTTCATACAATTGCGGTTTTAACATTGACGTTACAAATGGTAATTTTTTTTGTCAACCAAGACACCATATCCATTTTCTTAGAATTACTGGTGGGTGCTTTATTAGTTTGTACATTATGATATGACTCATTATCAGTAATAACAATAGATCCAACAGGCAAATTGGTGATTAACTGTTCTTTTATCCATTTTTCATAATTTTCTGAATTCATAGCATCATGATAATCTCCTGTCTTAGCTCCTGACTTACAAATCAAAAGGCATTCTGTATGAAACCCATTTCCCACCACCATGTACAATAACCAATCTACTTTCTTTTGAAATGTTTTTTACAATACTTTGCCACTATCATCTGCCCAGCTATTTGGCGTAGTGTGTCCTGCATGTACGTAGGATTCATCAACATATACAATTGACTTACCTTCGCTTCTGTAATATTTAATTTTGTCCAAATATTTAATGCGTAGAGCACGAATATCATTCTAATTTAGAGTTGCTTCCTAAGACAGAAAAGATTTGTTTTCACATTCAGAACGACCGTGAATATCTGTTCTGATGAGCCCTATTAGGGCGAAATAGGTATAAGCAGATACACGACGCACTACACATGAAATTAAATTTTGACTGTCTTTTCTATATTATATATATGTATATATAATAAACATCGATTTGATAGACGATCTTGTATAAGATCTTTTGAAACTAAAACTTGGACAGAAGCACTATTTTCATTTGGTTTGTTCTTTCCACAGTAAATTTTAATAAAGTTTAATGCTTAAGTTATATATATATATATATATATATATATATATATATATATATATATATATATATAAGATGGTGGTATTCTTGACTGTTGATTTAAATATAAGTTATGATTTTTGAGGATGCAGTCAGTTTATTTGGCCCACAAGACAAAGAAAACTCTTTGCCTTACTGTCAAGCTTTCGAATTATATTTAATTCTTTTTCAAGACATCTATAAAAAGAAATATAAATTAACTAGTTAAAATTGTTAATTGTCTTACTTACTAGTCGTGAGATTACAGTTTTTAATATTGTACTCTACAAAACAAACCCTAATAAATATAATTAAAATTTTTTTATTAAAAATAACTATATTGTCACTATATATGTCATTGTCATGGTTTGATTAATGGACATATATGAATGAAAATACAGTTACTTTATGTGGAAAGCAAAACCAGTAACAATAGTTTTTATTATAATTTATTTAATTGTCTATAAAAATATAAATTAATCCAGTCAGCAGTTTGGCTTAAGCACATATGAATTTTTACAAATTAAGTAACATTTATTGTTACATATTAACATATCAATAAATACCGTCAAAATCTTATTTTCTATTGACATCCTAACATTAAAAATTCATATGTGCTTAAGCCAAACTGCTGACTGGATTAATTTATCTTTTTTATAGACAATTAAATAAATTATAATAAAAACTATTGTTACTGGTTTTGCTTTCCACATAAAGTAACTGTATTTTCATTCACATATGTCCATTAATCAAACCATGACAATGACATATATAGTGACAATATAGTTATTTTTAATAAAAAAATTTTATTATATTTATTATGGTTTGTTTTGTAGAGTACAATATTAAAAACTGTAATCTCACGACTAGTAAGTAAGACAATTAACAATTTTAACTAGTTAATTTATATTTCTTTTTATAGATGTCTTGAAAAAGAATTAAATATAATTCGAAAGCTTGACAGCAAGTCAAAGAGTTTTCTTTGTCTTGTGGGCCAAATAAACTGACTGCATCCTCAAAAAATCATAACTTATATATATTATATATATATATATATATATATATATCGGATACATCGGTTTAGAACGTCTTTCGCTGTTGTCCGATACCTAAACACCATCTCTTCCTATCTTCGCAATCGTTTGTTGTTAAATTTCTTTCGCTCATGGACCATTTTAAACCGTGTTACCATTCTAATCTGGGTCTTCCTCTTTTCCGTCGACCTATCGGTTGCCATTCTAATACTTAATGCTTAAGTTATGGTGCTTATTTTTTATGTATATACTGGATTTTCTGAATTTCCAATAAAATAACATTGCAAATGTTATAACACTGGAAGCACTCGGCGATTATTCTATCTTAGAAATACCCGGTGTTGAGAGATCAAAATTAAACCTTCGTTAAACACAACAAAGGAAAAGAAATTAGCCTGGTTCAGACAGTTATTACGGATGGACGATACTAGACAAGTAAATCGAGTTAAAGAAACTATGGAAGACAAAACTAGTAGGGAAAAAAAGGAGAGGAGGTTTTATTAACGTCTGGTATAGTGACATTACGGAAATACTCAAACGTTCGGGTAAATTTTGACAAGAAGCAAAATAATGTCACAGCACGCAAAAGAATGAAGAAAATTTATCAAAATCAGATAAAGACACTTTCAACACCTAAAGATATAGGAGAACGATTATATGTATTAATCTATGTAATGTATATATTTAGATTTTAGATATCTAAAGTTTTTATTTCGCTTCGAAGCAGAAAATTGAAACGTGACGATTTAATTGCTGTCTTGCCAGTTCAGTTTTGTCCTCTACACCTATGGCCAGTAGTACTTATGAAGGAAATAATAACGCGTGAACTGTAATAAAAACATCAACTACATAAACATTTTATCAAATTTGAAGTTCCATATTTGTTTTCCCAGGAAAATAGCAGGAAAAAGGTCCATAGGAAGAAGACGAAACTCCTGGCTAAAGAATCTACCGAAATGGTATAGCTGTAGCAACAACGAATTGTTTCGGTCAGCAGTTTCGAAAATACGTATAGCCCTGATGATCGCCAACCTTCGGAACGAAGATGGTACTTGAAGAAGAAGATTTGTTTTCCCAAGTGCATCTCATATCATAGATTAAATAGTTTTTAATAATGTTACTGTTAGAATATGCTACTTTTAAATAGTTCCCTTAATGAGTCTAAGCACAATGCTCAACTATAAAATGTAACAAAGGTCACATAATTTTTTTCTTCATTTCAGACCACCAGAAGCGTACACTCTGGAAAATGATACAGACGATGAAACAGGTGACGAAGACAACGACGAATATGGGAAACCAAGAAGACAGCAGTGGTCCAATAAGTTACAGTTTGTTCTGGCTTGTATTGGATACAGTGTTGGACTAGGCTCAATATGGAGGTTTCCCTACCTTTGTTACAAAAGTGGAGGAGGTAAATATAAAAACTTTTAATTATTTTAATAACTTCCAATTATTAATGTATTTAAAACTATTTTTTATCACTTTTATTAATATCCTGGGTAAATAGTGGTAGCTATATTGATTTGATAATAGTCCATTACAAAAATATAAAATATCTAGAACCTGATTTAGCATCTAGCACTAAAACAAAAAAAAATAAATAATTATTACAGAAAACTTGTTCCAATGAAACGCCGGTGCAGCTAAAATTACGAGACAAATAGCAAACCCGGTTGCAGAACAAGATACTCGCTGTGTTCCGGTACTTCGAGGGGAAACGAGAAATGATCGTGGGCGTGAAGCGGCGAATCTTTGCATTAATATTAGCACATTTCATAAAAACTAGCATTGAAGAAAATGGGATTTCGCAAACGCTTTATTATAAATAATTGTAAAAATACAACAAGAAATAGTCAATTTATAGGATTTCTTATTTAAATTACAATAACTATTTTATTTAATAAACAAGTTTAAGTCATTTTATGTTCAGTTTACTAAAAAGTTCGCTGATCTATGATACTAGGGGGTCACTCTTCCAAAATGTTTTTCTTTTAATAACCTCTATCTTTAATGTCCAGATCATGAAATCTAAACGTAAAAAATATATTTACCCGTTTTTACAATTAAAAATCTATTAAAAATGTTAAGTTAAATATCGATATAAATTACAATAATTATTATATTACATAAACAAGTTTAGATAATTTTATTTGCAGTTTACATACAAGTAATATATATTAAAAGTGCTAAAAATTTCACTAATGTATGACACTAGGTGTCGCTCTTCCGAACTTGCTTCTTCTTCCTTCTTTTTCTTCCTTATTATATGTAGGCTTTAAAGCCTGTTTCTTCTTTAATATTAGCTTTCTAAATTGTTTAAATTATCGCACCATCTTTTTCTTCCGTCTGCCAATACTTCCTTGCCCATTTGGTGACTTATGTGCTATTTTACTATCCTATCCTCTCCCATTCTACTAATGTGTTCGTTCCACTCCTATTTCCGTTTTGTCCCTATCAATTTATGTCTTCTATATTGCATGCTCTTCTTATGTTTTTACTTCTCTCCCTATCCAACAGACTTTTCCCTGATATTCGTCGGAGTATTTTTTGGTCTCTGTTGTTTCTAGTAGTCGTCTCGTTTTTGATGAGTCAGGTCTTGTCTCTTCTTCTTCTTCAAGTGCTATCTCCTCTAAGAAGGTTGGCAACCATCATGGCAATTCGCACTTTCGACGCCGCTGCTCTAAAGAGGTCAGCAGAAGTGCAGTTAAACCAAGCTCTCAAATTATTCAACCAGGAGATGCGTTTTCTTATGCGACTCTTTCTACCCTCTATTCTTCCTTGCATTATTAATTGCAACAAGTTATAACGCTCGCCCCTCATAAGAGCCATGTCCCAGTTATTGCAGTTTTCTGACTTTAACTGTATTTAAGACCTCTTTATCTTTACCCATTCTTCTCAACACCTCGACATTCGTTACTCTATCTACCCAACTTATTCTTAATATCTTTTTGTATAAATGTTTTCATTAAATCTTTGTTTTACTCCTGGAACTATTTCATTTCTGATTCGTGCATTAAAGTCATCCATAAAAATTAAGGGTTCTTTATGAGGTATTTCATCCAGGATGGTTTGCAATTATTCGTAGAATGTCTCTCGTTTCTCTTGAGGTTTGTAATCCACGGAGCTATAGATAGATATGATATTTAATGTTTGGTAGTCTATTGTGGTGTTCATATATGTATTATTCTTTCGGATATATAACGGCAGTTATTTATGTTGTCTTTAAATTTTTATGGACAAGTATACCTACGCCTGCTCGTGCTCGTTCTTCTTTTTTTACTCCACTTTATGCTAAAAAAATATTGGTTATAGTCTCTATGGCCTTTACCTTACTTCTTGGTTTCTTGTATTGCACAAATGTCTATGTTTTTATTTATCAGTTCTTTTATTACCTCTTGGTCTTTGTTGTTGAATAAAGTACTGTTTTATGTTGTTAATCTGTTGTGGGCTTATTTTCCCCTTCTCGTTTTCCTTTTCTTTACGTGGTTTGCCATCTTAGATTCCTTCTGGTTTCGAATTTTAATATCGGTTCTTTGAGCCTTATTTTTTTTACAATGGTTAGGATGCTTACTTGGCCCACTAATCCTCTCTTTTTATCCTGGCCTGGGACCGACTGTGGGCATGAACGCGGCTTCTGAGCTAGTCAATCCACCCAGTACTCACGCTCATATCCCTTAGACAGAGCTCCAAACTTGCATATAGCGATTGTTCACAATAATAGCTTTTTAAAATACCTAAGACGTGTTATAAAACAGAAACAAACTAAATTTAATAAACCAACTAGTCCAGGAAGTCAGAGAACCTTAAAAAAGTAAAACATGCTAATATAGCCATGGGTAAGCTACTTACTATTTCTGAATGGAACGCTTACGGCATCAAGAATCACATACAATAAATTGAAGTTTTTAAAAATCCAAGTATTTGTAGGCTAATGTTTTTTTTTTATTTTAGCCGTTTTTCTCATTCCATATGCAATAATTATGATATTTATTGGGGGACCCATGTTATATATGGAATTAGCAATAGGTCAATTTACAGGACGAGGTCCGATAGGTGCATTGGGACACCTCTGTCCTTTATTCAAAGGTAAATATACATTGGTATGATTAAAATCTAGATATTGGTTTCTTAGGAGTTTATTTTTTATTTTCTACAGTTCTTTATATTAATGTTATATTTTATATTAATATGATTAATATTATATTAAATTAGAAATATTTGTCCACTCATTTAATTTTTGCAATAGTGGAATTACAATTTGTATTTACGTTTTGTGTATTAGTTTTACGACATGCTTAACTGAATGTAAATTAATTACTTTCAATATAAACCTCCAAAATTATCTTAATGTGGTTAACCCTTTCGTCCACTAGCGCACCTAGGATTTTACTCTGGGGTGGGGGGGTTTGGTCGGGCACCGAATTTTTTTTATGCTACCTCCACCATTTTAAGTCCTTAACATTTGTAAATAACATTGTCGGAATAGGGTCTTGGTGGGTTTAACCCTCCAAACCCCCCCCTGGGTGCGTCACTGTTTTCGGCACGGGAAAATGAAATATCCACAAAGCTATAGTGTGTTTGATGCCCAGAGAGCATATAAATCAGCCGGGACGAAGAATCAAGTTTGAGACGAAAAACGTATTAATTAGAGCCTAGCAGACCATTATTGGCTGAAGCTTTATTCGAAAAAAAAAAATTACCTGTTGTGAAACTGGGCACCAAAATAGAAAACTATGCCAAAATGACAAACAAGAGAGACGTTGTAATGCTGATTCAAGATTTAAGTTCAAGAAGTTGAAACATCTTAATGTATTATCGAGTATATTATAAATATGGGTAGTGGAGAGAACTGATATGCTTCGTCTACTAAATCAGTAACGAAAAATTTGAAATGGTACAAAAAGGTTTTTTTCCTATACAGGCTTACGCAATTGAACTGTTACCAACTTCACATCGATATATCTGGCAAATAGATAATGACAGCTACGTCAAAGTTGGCCTGATAACACTTCAATATATTGGTTATAAGCCGTCAAAAGCATTAGCATTTACAAAAGTTATTCGCAATGGAATTTAAATGTAATAGTGTGATTGCATTAGCAAGTTAGCAACAGTTATTGTTTGTTAGCTCAAACACCTCAAAGTGAATAAAATGTTTGTGTATCGCACCATAACTCGTTATAATGATACTGATAGCATCGCCAAACGCTATGGTGGTGGACGAAAAAAACAGCAACATCACCTGAAATGGTTTAGAAAGTGAAGGCTTGACTTGAGCGAAATCCATGGCGTAGTGGTAATCAAATGGCCAAAGAACTGAAAATATCCTAGCGAAGCATGCAATGAATATTGAAAAAGCGAGCTCAAGGCCAAGCCTTACAAGTTCCAAAAATCACACAATCTTACACCAAAGCAAAAAATGGTTCGGCTTGAAAGAGCAAAGGAGTTGTTACGCCTGCACGAACGTGACGAATTTCCAAACACAGTGTTCTGTGATGAAAAAAATTTTCCTATTGAGCAGTTCATAAACTCTCAAAATGATCTTGTTTACTTGACCCAACGCACCTACGAAATTGGCACGAACGCCACCCGAAGTAATTCGCAATCTCAAGTATTGGTATGGGCAGCTGTAACCGCCGCCGATGGACGTCTCCAATCGTTTTTATTGAATCTGGTGTCAAAGTCAATGCAACTTACTTTTAGAAGCTGCTTTAGAGCCGTGGGCACGCAAACATTTCGGTTATAGACCATAGACGTTCCAACAAGACTCGGAACCGTCTCATAAAGCTAGTGTGAACCAAGAATGGTTAACAAAACCATGTTCCACATTTCATTTCATCCACAAAATGGCTTTCGAATTCACCAGACGCAAATCCGATGGACCATTCCATCTGGTTCATTTTGAAGAGCTAGGTTAGGTCTAAAAAATATGCCAGTATGGATGCGCTGAAGAAAGCAATTATACATGAATGGGCCAAAATGACGGAAGATCACATTCGTGCAGCATGCAACTCGTTTTGATCGTTTGAAGGCCAAATTATGGTCGTTTGAATAGGTAACAGTTCAATTGATTAACCCTGTACTTGTCCTGAATAAACTAAATTCATTTACAAAGAGAAAAAAATATTCTTTTAAAGGATTTCCAGAGGGATCTTCAACAAAACTTTGCGTTATATCTAAAGTTTTGTTGTCATTCATAACTCTTTCCGGTCTACTTGATCGGTATCTATCTTTTACTTCTTCAGATTCCTCAAATCGCTTTACAGATATTTGTACTGTCGCCTTATGCATAGGAGAACGGTTTGAGAAAGTGTTAGATATGGTTGAACTCATATTGAATAGGAGATTCCCATAATGACTGAATATACTGGATAATGAATTTGAAAAACCAAAGTTACTAATAATATAAGAGAAACGGCAAATCTGGCAACATTGCAAATATTAAATATGGAATCTCAGTATCTCAAAATGCTGTACCTCAAATTTTGTAAAATTGTGGCTAGCGATTTACGAGATAATTGGTCATTTCCAGACACTTTTGCCACTCATATTAATAAACTGTCTATAAGCAAATCCAAATAATGACCACTTGACTCTGATTTAGCTATTACTTCTCTCTAAATACCAAATAAAGTGTATATAAAACTTATCATTATTATCAGTTTTTTATTAGTTTTATTTATTTTAGGAACTGGTATTGCAAGTGTAGTAATATCATTTCTTCTTTCAACGTACTATAGTGTTATCATAGCGTATGGAATCTTTTATTTTTTCACTTCGTTTCGAGTAAATCAACCATGGGACGACTGTACACATCGATGGAATACCAAGAATTGCTGGGACCAAATGAGGCAGAAGCTAAACCATTCGAAACCTAGACATACTCAATCGCCTGCTGAAGAATTTTATGAGTAAGATATTTATTTTTAAAATCCACAAGGAAACTAAATTCCTGTAGTTGGCTGTATATCATTTATCACAAAAAAAAATTATTTAACAATTTTCAGAACATCATATCACAGAACGTTTTCGAAATAAGTATTCCATCATCAGCGCTAAATGGCTGTATACGTTTGAAGCCACTTAATATGTGGGTAAAAACCTCCTTTAAATGTAATTAGATTAACTTAGTATTACATCTTTGATATTTAAAAACTATGATGTTTAAGCTACAAAGGGAATGGTAACGTAGCACTCCACTATGGCTGCAATATGACATGGATGCAATAGCAGCCACTATGGCTGCTAGTCCTTAGACGAAGGGTCTGTGAGGACTTGTTAGCAACTGCCCTCACAGACCTCAGTTTTTCTAAAGAGTAGCAACCCCAGTGGACTCCTACGTTGCCATGCCTTCTACCGTCCTCTTAGTTTATTCATTTGGATTATGCATGATTGGTTTGGTTTTGAAACTAGCTTCTTCTTCTTCTTCTTTAGGTACCATCTCCTATAAGGAGGTTGGTAATCATCACAGCTATTTTCACTTTTGAGATTGCAGCTTGAACAAGTCGATGGAACTGCAATTATACCACTTTCTAGATTGTTGAGCAGGAGATGCGTCTTCTTCCAATACTTCGTTTTCCCTGAATTTTTCCCTGCATTATGGTTTGTAGCAACACATATTTATCCCTCTCATAACGTGGCCGAGATACTGTAACTTTATCTTAATCGTATTCATGATTTCCATTTCTTTTCATCTTTCTGAGGACCTCAACATTTGTTATTCGGTCTACCCAACTTATTTTTAATATTCTTCGGTAGGTCCACATCTCGAATGCTTCAAGTTGATCGCTCACCTCTTTCTTTAAGGTCCAGGCCTCCACCCCATACAGCAGCACCGAAAACACATAAGAACGTTATGTGTTTTCGAAACTAGCTTATTCATTCATTAATCAATCGGTTGTTTATGGTATTTAGAAGTGTGATTCCTCTCCAGTTTTCACAATATCTTTTGTCACCAGTTTTGGAATCGTTTTTGTAAGTCTTGTGTTTTATTCTCTGTTCTTCTTCTTGAGCATGCTTTTAACAACTCTCGTGAAATGCTTTCAGGGCTGGCTGCTTTGTGCGCTTTCAATATTCCTATAGTCATTTCTATTTCTTTCGTTGTTGGTTCATTGGTGTTAGTTCTAAGTTTGTTGACATAGGAGTTTATATTTTATGAGTCTTCTCGTAGTATTAGTACTGCACTTAGATGCTCATTGAAATATTCATGTAATTCATTGAATTGTTACTATGGCGATGATATCTCTTCACCTCTATTGCTTTTACAATTTTTTAGTGTCTCATGTTTTGTCTCATGTTTTGAAGTTCATCGGCGACATCTTTCAACAAGAGTTTCTGCCCTCTTGCTTTGTTTTTCTTTGCTGTCTTCTTGACAACTACATTCGCTTTACTGAGTCGTTTCTTTTCTACTTTTGTTCTGGATTTTAGTAGTTCTATTTTTTCCACGTTTTTGTTTTTGTAGTTTTTCAACGTCGAACTTCTTTCGTATAGGTTTGTTTAGTTCTTTTTTATTTATAATTATCTTGATCCCAATTTTGGCCATCTAACCATCCATCCCATTGCTCTACAGCCCAATTCGAGCCCTTGCCTTCCTCATCAGACTTCTTCATCCATTACGGTCTGTAGTCATTCTCCTCCACGATCGACTGCCAAGGAGATTCCTGTCGTCCTCATCCACATCATCCTCCCATCGCATTTTCAGTCTACCAATAGGTCTCTTCCACTACATTCTTGCATTCGACATTTATTTTGGAAAGCCTGTTTTCTTTCATCCTAAATACATGGGCTACCCATTAAAGACGCTGTAGCTGGACATACTGAGGTAAAGCCGGTTCTTTATATATCTTTATATAATTTCGTTCATCATCAGGTAGTAATCCCTGGCCTCATCTGCGCCTCTTCATGATCTAACATCTAGGAGAGATATTCTCCATTATTATAGTGCATATATTACAGTGCGCTATGTAATTTTTGGTGCATCTTATCTCTTGGGATAGCAATCTGTTACTCAGATTATGAATCTCTATCAGTCAATTACGTACATTGCTTAATATTCTTTTATATTGGAGCAGAGATTTTTTACTTCTAGGTTAGATAAACAATGCATTTTAGTGCATGGAGTAGTAACTATACCGTACTGAGGAGATCTAAAGAGATCGAAATACGTATATGCGGCTTGTTGCTGCTCTGTATCAAATCAAAATATAATACCGTCATTTTGTTTTGTTTATTTACTTCATTTGGAGTACCAGAAATCGAATTCACTACGAATATAGGCCATGATGAACGGCATTTTGGAGTGCAATTTTTAGACTCCCTTGCCGATGCATTCATCAACGCTGTTTGCTTCGCAAGTCTTAGGGGGCACGGCGGCTTATATTTGAATTCGATTTCGCCTGGTAGAAATCGTATGATTTCTCTTTTCGTCAATGCATTTTATTTTATAGACGCGTAAATAAAAAATACGTTATTAATCGTTATTCGTTCGTTTCAGCTTAAAGGTTCTTCAAATAGGTAAAGGTATAGAAGACTCTCACAACCTTAGATGGGAACTTGTGGCCTGTTTACTGTGCGCCTGGATCCTTATCTATTTTGCCATATGGAAGAGCATCAAATCATCAGCGAAAGTGCGTTATTTCACAGCGACGTTTCCATTCGTCATCATCATCATATTATTAATAAAATCTTTGACATTAGAAGGAGCTGATGTCGGAATGAGGTATTTTTTCAAACCAAAATTCGAGCTGCTTCTGAATGCAGAGGTAAGATTTATTTAAATTTTTAATAATTGTTGGGTTAATATTTAAACAGATACATACTAAGGAAATATCGTTTATGACTTGGTTTGGGTAAAGCTTTTTCTGTTTCCTAAATGTGTTCTTCATTTCTGTTATTTTGGTCTATTAAAAAGTAACAAAACCCCAGGACCAGATGATATGTACGCAGAAACAATCAAGTTACTTAATGAAGAAAACCTAGACATTATTGTCAAGCTCTTTAACGACATCTACGATACGGGCCAGATTCCAAAAGATTGGCTTCGATCTACATTTATCGCCCTACCAAAAACACCACGTGCGAACTTCTGCAAGGACCACCGACTAATAAGCCTAATGAGTCACTTTTTAAAACTTTTCCTGAGAATACTTTACACTCGATTATTTAAGAAATGTGAAGAGGTCAGTGGATGGAGTCAGTTTGGTTTCAAAAATGGACTTGGCATGAGAGAAGCGATCTTTAATATACAAACATTAATACAGAATTGTTTAGATCAAAGAAAGGATGTTTTTGTCTGTTTCAACGATTACGAGAAAGCATTTGATAATGTAAAACGCGAATTAATGATAAAATATCTACAAGAGTTGGGATTGGATGCCAAGGATATAAGAATTATCGCCAATCTGTATTGGAACCAGACAGCAACAGTACGTCTTCAAAATTTCAACGAAACAGAAGACTTCTCCATTAAAAAAGGAGTAAGGCAAGGTTGTATACTGTCTCCAATGCTGTTCAATTTATACGTAGAAAAAGCCTTCGCAGAAGCAGTGGCAGACTCTAATAAGGGTACTAAAGTTAACGGCATATTTATTAATAACATCAGGTATGCCGATGATACAGCCATAGGGGCAGATAACATCGAAGATCTTCAATTCCTTTTAAATGATTTAACTCTTGCAAGTGAAGCTCGGGTTTGAAAATAAATTTTAAGAAGACAAAAACAATGATTATAAGTAGAAATGATTACCCCAACGCAAAGATATATATTTCTGGAGAAGAAATCGAACAGGTCAGGCAATTTAAATACTTGGGTTGCTTGCTGACCGAGGGTTGGGACCCCGAGAATGAAATAAAGAGCAGAGTTAAACAAGCCAGAACTGCTTTTTTGAGGCTTCGTAAGTTTCTGACTGATCGCAAATTGCACTTCAACCTCCGATAAAAGATGCTTAAGTGTTACGTGTGGCCTGTTTTCTTGTACGGAATGGAAGCATGGATGTTAAAGGCCAGTTCCATTAATAAACGTGAAGTGTTTGAAATGTGGTGCCTGCGTCAAATGCTTAGAATATCATGGACGGACAGGGTCAGAAATGAAGAAGCGAGTTTACAGGATAGAGAACTTTTTAGTTATGTAAAAAGTAAGAAGACTGCATACTTGGGGTACATATTACGAGGAGAAAGATACACTTTTCAGCAACTGATTCTCGAAGGGAAGATAGAGGGTAGGAGAGGTCTGGGACATCGTCTACCTGACAAGACGATGTACGGTGGACGCCTACGCAGAAATGCACGGCACCTTAAGAAGAAGAATAAAATCTATATTCTTGATTTCATGTTTTTAATTATGTGTATTTATGTATAAAGTTTCTAGATATAGACCTTTATTTATTACTTATGTGTGAAAACCTGCTAAAAAATATTGTTTTAGTATTTCCAATTCATGTTTTTGTAATATAATACTGTTTTGTACATATGATAATTAAATTTGTAATGTTTCAGGTTTGGGTAAATGCAGCTAGTCAAACTTTCAACTCAATGGGTTGTGCTTTTGGATCAATGATCTGTTTCGCAAGTTATAATAAGTACAATAGTAGTATTTTACCTAATACTGTAGCAGTCTGGCTTTTAAATAGCGTAACTAGTTTAATCGTAGGAATTTTTGCTTTTGCTACAATTGGAAATATCGCTACCGAACAAGGAACGAGTATTGAGGATGTTATTGATGACGGTAAGTTTTGGTTATGTTAACGTTATTATACATATATATGTATGTGTGAAAGTTATTATACTTGATAAGTTGCAAAATGATAGTACCCATATATAGAGAGCCAAGAAATTTCTCATTTAAGATAGATTGATACGTACCTGTCATTAGCTGTCATGTTGATAGTACATATTGTATAGCACATGTTAAAATCTTTGGCATTATTATTCTTTCATTAAAGAAAGAGTTGAAAAAAAAACAAGTCTTTGCTGCTGAAGACTCCCTGAAGATGATAAAGGTTTCCTTTATTTCCTCTAAGAAGCAAATCTTCTTCTTTTTGTGCCACTCCTATCGGAGATTGGAAATCATCAAGGCTATTCTGACCTTGTTTACGGCTGACCTAAAGAGTTCATTAGTGGTGCAGCCAAACCACTCTCTCAAATTCCGCAACCATGACATTCTTCTACGGCCTGGATTCCGTTTTCCTTCTATTTTTCCTTGCATTATATTTTGAAGTAATGCGTATTTATGTCCTCTCATCAGGTGACCAAAATATTCGAGTTTTCTTCGCTTTAGCGTTAACAAAATCTCTGGGTCTTTTTCTATTCTTCGTATTACTTCACAGTTTGTTATTCTTTCAACCCAACTAATCTTCAGCATTCGACGGTAGCACCACATCTCGAAACTTTCAATATTGTTCATGTTGTTCTGTTTGAGAGTCCAGGCCTCTACACCGTATAATAGCGTGTTAAATACATAGCCTCTCAGCATTCTTAATCGTAGAGGGATGCTTATATTTCTGTTGCAGAAGAATTTTCTCATCTCTATGAAGGTGGCCCTGGCAATTTCGATACGTCTTTTTATTTCACTGTTTTGGTCTCCAGTTTCGTTTATTAAAGTTCCCAAGTATTTGTAGTTTGATACTTTTTCAACTTGAGTGCCGTTTATACTAATATACGCTGGTTGTGTCATGTTTTTACTGAAGACCATATACTTGGTTTTTTTAATATTGATATTTATACCATAATTGTTGCAAGCAATATTTATGTCTGTAAGTAATCTTTGTAATTCTTCTACTGTTCTTACAACTAGTACAGTGTCGTCCGCGTATCGAATATTATATTAGCAAATAAAGAGAATCAAAATTTAGACCCATCTGATATAAGATAACTAAGCGTTTCCTAATGACCTTTGACATAACAATAGTATAAACGATACAGCTGCCTTTTCATTAAAAATATTAACATCACCGCCAGAGTGTTATTTTTTACTAATGATGGTGTTTTGGTCTAAGATGGGATGAATTGATAAACTTATGCATTAGCGAAACAAATATATAAAGCTAAACTATCAACATTTGTATAAAAATAAAAAAAAATTATCAAAACTACTATAAAATCCTATCCCTAAAATGTTCATGATTCACTGATAAAGAAGATCATGCTTTCACAAGTTTAATAAGCCAAAAGTTAACTTTTAACATTTCAGAATGTGATGCAGAAAATGAGAATTCTCCAAATACATTGCCTTCAGATACTTTGACACCACAAAAATCTCCTAAGGTACTTGAAAATAAGGAAAAGTGTCATATTACTTCTCCTCCTCTTGCTTACAACAAGTTCTATGGTAATGCGACGATACCATCTTCTTCATACGCTGTCAATAAATTTCAAGTCACTCCCAAATAACTAGTTGCCCTTCCTCACGCAGAATGAAAAATTAACCCTATTGATAAAAGGAGAGGAAAAACAGTTGTGTTAACCCTGGAGAGGTCTATAGGTAGAAACCCCATAAAAAAGCGAAATATACAAGAAAAACAAAATTGGAAAGGCAAAGGAAAAAATAAGAAGTATGTTCCAAAACCAAGAAAAGAAAAAAGAGAAAGAATCAAAAGGGATAGCAGTTCAGATAATGAAGACGAAGACGCAGTTTGCATTTATTGCTCGAAACTGTATTCCAAATCAAAATCAGATGATGGTTGGGTAATACGTGAGCAATGTCGACTTTGGGCTCACGAAGCTTGCGTTGTTGTAGAGAATAATGGTTAGCCACACTCATGCGATTTTTGTCGGTTTTATACTATAAATTTATTTAATATTAATGTTAAAAAGGGCTCTTCAGAACGTCTATTCACAGTCGCTCTAAACGTGAAAATAAATCTCTCCTGTCTTAGGAAGCAACTCTAACATGGCTTCGTATGGACGCCTTTTTTTTGTTCAGTTCTTCCCTACTTGGTGTAAGACAGAGACATAACATACAACGAAAAAGAAGGTGGTGTCGTTACTTAGCTCTACGGACTGCTCAGTGACTGTTAATATATGTATACGTCTATGGTTGACTTCGTAACTTTCCCAGTTAAACAAAAGTCACTTGTTAATTATGTTATAGGATTCTTTACATCAAGTTATTAGTATCTACGATTTATAACAGAAAATGGGGTACTGTTTAGGGCAGAATTATAATTTTTAATATAGACTAACCAAAATACAAATTTAAATTTATATTATTCTTAATAGGACCTGGCCTAATATTCGTCGTGTATCCTCAAGCAATAGCAAAGATGCCAGCCTCCCAACTCTGGGCCGTGTTCTTCTTTTTCATGCTGATTTGCCTAGCGCTGAATAGCCAAGTAATTAAAAATATTTCTAAGTAAGGCAGTTATATAAAATTTCATTAAGATAATTTTTAGTTCGCTATTGTGGAGGTCGTGGTGACGTCACTTCAAGATGGTTTTCCGGGATGGATTTCTAGAAATTTGACATGCCACGAGATTCTCGTCCTAGTCATCTGCGTTGTATCGTTTTTATGTGGCATACCCAATGTTACTAAGGTAAGTGTATTGTATCCTTATCATAGTTCTTTTCGATTTTAAAAAGTCGTTGAAAAGTTAAAAATACTTTTTACATCGTACATGAATTACTTTTGTTTATGGGAATAAACCATTGTTTTAACGAAAAGATTTTTTGTGTTTACAAGAAGTTTTGACATTTGACACTTGGCTGTTTATAGGTTATGTAAATTTTTTACAATTTTATTCCAGGATTTTTTTTTGAAAACGATTTTGGTTTACTGATTTTTACCAATCAAATACACTTCTTCCTCTATTTTTTTTTTTTGGGAGGTGAGAATCTTCAAAAGACCTTTGAGAAGGTGTCCCAGGTGTGTTGGTGTGTGGAATGCCTCACCGTAGTTGACCGCCTACCAACATAGCTCACTTCCTATTTCTCCTTTCTCCAACCGACGGGCCTGGGACCGCTCTTAGCCAGCATTAACATCTGACCCCTCAGCTTTACTCATAACTACCATCTGTCGCTCTGTGTTTGCCTTCCGTGATTGCCATAGCATCCCAGTCGTGCCACTCCACCCACGTCTGCAACGGACTTGGTTTGTAAGGTAACCATCCTTGTGCAAAGCGATAACCTAAAAGCAGCGACCGCGCCTATATTTCAACCCCATCTTGAACTTAACGAGAAAGATTAGACAACAGGTACCGGGGGGTAGTCCATTCATTCATCGACATCTACACCAGCCCAATACTGAGCAATAGGCTGCTCCAAAAGGAGACACACAAAGTACACTAGATACAAGTAGAAACAAAATAACACGTATGTAAATTGATTTCTGGAATGTAGTCAAGTTCTTTGAAAATTTATTTAAGATTTCGGCATCAGCAGTAGAAGCGGAATAGTGGCTCATCCCACTGACGCCGATAGATACGACACAATAAAATAAACAGTTCACAGTTCAGATCAAGTCAAAAATTCTTTTGTTTTCAATTGCTTTATTCATTAGTTCATGTGGCTCGCCTAGAGGTGATCCCAGGCCTAGCTGCAGCAAGATTCGTCCCACATTATATGCAGGGCATACGAATACCACATGATGCGCGTCATCCACAAATCCACACTCAGATACAGATCGTTCTTGGTCTTTTTATTCTACCGGTCTATGTTTAAAACCGGAAAGATCCATGCCCCTTCATAAATTGGGTCAAGTAGTAGTTGACATATCTGAGTTTACACTCATACCACCTTACTACATCTGGGATAAGAACCCTCGTCGAGGCAGCCTTGTCTGTTTCTCTTGAGCATTGGTCCTGCCAGATCTCCAAACTTCTTTTCTTTCTTGTGTACCTGAACCTAAAGCTCCGTTGCCTCTTTGGTGCAGGACCGGCCATTACTTTTAAGGCAATGGTTGATACGGTCCTGTACGCGCTGCATACCCTGATCAATGGTTTCCTCTATGTCCAAAGAAGCATGTCTTTATATTTCGCTTTGTTGAGGATCTCATACCACACTGGGCCGCACATAGAAATAAACATGATTGATTACAGGATAACTGATCTTTTATGTGACCTAGGGCCTTATTAGTTCAGTTAAATTGTATTTTTGCTAGGAAAGTTTTGGGGTAGTTCTGATTTTTTTCATTCCATATGTTTTTTGGGGTGCTTAATCCGAATCTGGGGTTTGCGGACAAAATTTCGTGACGCAACATTAAAAAAAAACAGAATAAACCGTTTTTTTTTCTTCTTTTTTCGGGTTTTTTGCTTAAAACTCAAAAACTATCAACTTTTGGTAAATGGTCTGTTTACAGAAATTAAAGTACTTGAAATTTTCTACAAATACCAGTATTTAGTTTTTTTTTTCAGACGAATCGTTCGGTTTCTAGTGCGAGTTGAAAATTGTAAATTTTTAGCATTTTATGCAAAACCCACTTTTTACATTTCAATATTTAATTTTTATGGATGCTGTCATTTGATAAATGTCACCTAGTTTTCCACACAAGTAATTAAAAAGAAAAAAGGGAAAAATTATGCAAATTCAGTAGGTAGGTAGAACTCGTAACAAAATAAAACTTAAAATCTCGTTACTTATGATCATATATTATTATGATTATAAATTATAATATGCAAAATTTATATGAACCGTTGTCTTTTGGAAGGCCCTGGCTGAGGTTCTTCGATAACGATGAGTCCTGGTTCTGCTTGTTCTGGAAAATAAAAGTTTAAAGTTAAGTCATTTATCAAGAAGAGATGAAGATTGCAAAATAGATTGTGAGATTAAACATACCTTCCGCATCGTAGTGATGTTCTTCGACGGCATCGGGTCCTGGCTCAGGGTCTGATTGCTCCATCGTCCGCGTCGGGAGTCGTTCTCCTGGAAAATAAAAAGAGGAGAGACACATATCATATATCAAGGAGAGATGAATGACTACAAAATAACTTGTCAGATCCAACATACCTCTCCCTCTTTCTTCAGTTTCTTCTACGTCTATGTCAGAGCTGTCTTCTGGGGGCTCATCATTGTTACATAGTCCTTCGCATGATGCGCATATTGGGGAACAATGGAGTCCCCCTTCCTGCATCCACAATTGCGTTGACAGCCCTTTTTACATTTACATGAAATGTACCGGAGTATTGAGTTTGGTGCAGGGTCCAAAGTAGTTGGTACTGGCACAAGACCACTACTAGTTTTTTGCCATCCCCACTCACTTGGGTCTTTTTGTTGCTCGTTAGGTGTGGCTTGACCGGATAACCACTGCTGCACCTGATAGTAAACTCTCAGTGAATGTTCTCGTGCAGCAGCTTCAGTTGGGGACAATGAGAAAATGTTGGTCTTATTTTTGAATGATGAAGATACGTATTGTTTATATCTTAAATCGTTTAGTTTTGTCTCTTTTTTTCCATATAGAGCCGTGAGAAACATGTTTCCTGCTGTGGCAATCTCATCTTGACTTGAATTAGGGTCTTTGAAAGCTTCAATTACCGATTGCAAATCTTTGTTCTTCTGCAGGACTTTAAGAAATTTCAGTTTCCCTTGATTAAATAATGCAGAAGTAGTATCACAACCACTCATCGCATGCAGAAATAAAATATGATCCAATAGGATTTTCTCAGCAGCTAGATGAGGGTTGTAGAGGCTTTGCGAAACCTTTCCTTTTCCTGGCTTCAAAAAAAATACGTTTTTTTATATCAGAGCTACAAAGGCCAATCAAAATGACCAGTAGGTCGATATCTTCCCCCACCACTATCACATGTTCATTTGACGGGGCCATCTCAAGAGCTGTTGTGATAATTAGGATATCAGCATCTTCCACAGCTTTTTATAGTGCGCTAGTGTGCGCTACACGTACACACATATTACAACGTCTACAACAATTTAGCACATTGTTGCCGTTGGAATGTAAAGCGGCTTTAACTGCTTTTTAACTGAGTTATTTTGATTTTTTGCAATCTAGCTATAATATTTGAGTCAAAACGTGAATTATCCGTGTGACTCGGTCTTTATTTTAATTAACTTAAATACTAGGGAAAATTAACTGAAAACCTTTCAATACAAATCTAAAAAGTGGGTTTTGCAGTCGCACTGGTACAAATTGCCAATTTTCAACTTGTACTGAGACCGAACGGTTCGTCTGTACAATAACCAAAATAGTGACATTTGTACAGAACTTTAAGTACTTTAATTTCTATAAACAGACCATTTACTAAAAGTTAACAGTTTTCGAGTTTTAAGCAAAAAACCGGAAAAAAGCAAAAAAAAAAAACCGATTTCTTCTGGTTTTTTAAATGTTGCGTCACGAAATTTTGTCCGCAAACCTCAGATTCAGATTTAGCACCCCAAAACACATATGGAATGAAAAAATCAGAACTTCCCCAAAACTTTCCTACTAGTATCACTTTACAGTACAAATTTACTGAATTATATATATTCAGCATTATCTTATTAAGGGTCGAGGTCATCTCTTCCGCCGTCCGACATGCCTCTTGTATGTGGTGTCTGAAAGCCATTTTGTCGTCTAGTATGATTCCCAAAAGAAATTACCCGATGTCTCTAGAACACCAGAATATAAAATGGTTGTATAAAAAGGACGTAAACGACACATTTAAGACAAACAAGTAATAAGGGGAGACAATGTAATTGTGTTGTAGGCAAAAAAAACAATCAGAGATTTGCTATACGAAAATAGGAAAGCCCTCTAGGTGCTTTGTAGATATATCTAAAAAAAGTCCAGAAGAATGGTAAAAATAATTTAATATTAACCACAAAATGAAAATTAAGTTAAATTTAATTAAAAGTCAAAAATAGATTACCAGTAAAAGTAGGCTCGGAAATTCAGAAAAGAGCAAAGAGGTAGGTAGTTTAAGTCCAATCCTCTTTACCTTAAAAATGGGCATAATAATAAAAAAAATTAAATAATTAAAGACTGAGTATGGACAGAAAAAAATACAAATTCTTTGCTATGCAGGTGACGTAATTTTATATTTGATGAATTGAAAACCAAATGTATGTGGCGCAAGAGCACAATTTGTCAAACGTTCGGTTTATAAATCGGTATCAATAGTCTTTTATAACGTCATTTCATCATAACCGTGCATCATCAGCGATTCATGTAGATACAAATTCACACTCAGAACGGCCAGTGAAAATTCTAGCTTACTTTTCAAGTAGATGGCACTTTTGGAGCTTGTAGAATCGACAAGAGGTTATAGAGATTAATCTCAGGTGGCAGAATATGGAAACCAGTATGTCGCAGAACTAAGTTTTTAGTCTAAACTTTAGAAGGGCATTGATCTCTTTCAGATTAATGATATCTATTTTTTTCTTAACTGTCCACTTTCAGCTATAATATATTTTGTTGTTTGCACCCTTTCGGATTTAATTTTTAACAACCTCATCCATGTTTTGTGTCCTAATGTCCTAAAAAAAAAATAATAATCGTGATGAAATTTTTTGTTTTAGGGAGGAATATATTTCTTTCAACTGATAGACCATTACGCAGCTTCCATATCCATAATGTACCTTGCATTCTTCGAGGTGATCGGAGTAGCTTGGTTCTATGGCGCATGGAGGCTAAGCAAAAACGTTAAAACTATGACTGGAAGACATCCTGGCTATTTCATTAAGTTCTGTTGGTTAATTGCAACCCCACTAATGATTTTTGCTTTGTGGGTATTTTTGATAATCGATTATGAACCGCCTACGTACAACAATCGAACTTACCATTATCCCACTTGGGCAATTGTTGTAGGATGGATAATCTGTGCATTTTCGATTCTTTGTATACCCATTACGATGATAGTTGTATTTTTGAATGCTCCCGGATCTACTTATATTGAGGTAAGTGAATTTTCAGGTTAATGTAAAATATTATGGATTTAAAAAGGTTTACTAATTAAGTTAACTACCTTTCTCTCTCTCCCTCTCCAATTTTGACATTCGTACAAGTCAAATCTTAACCTAACTCTAATTAATCATTAATTAAATAATGCAGCTTCATTAATAGTTTTCAAATCATTTGCAAATGGTTCTTCAAATTTTAAGATTGTTTTTCTTCAGGTGGTAGTTAACTGTAGTGGTTCAGTTAAAGAGTATCGCAACCATTTAATTTTTAACCAGTTGACCGATTCACCATCGATAGTCTTTTTACGATTAGTAATGGTTTTCTCTAATGGAACACTACTCACAAGATTGTTGCCGGTCATTTCTACTACTGTGAATGGTTTTTGTTTTTGGCTGTCCTAATTACTCTGGTCCAATCTTTGGGTACATAAATATCATTAAAAGTTTTCTTATTCTTCTCTATGATTCCAAAGTCATGGTCTCAGGCTAAATATGAATGCCCCGACACCAAAAATTTATAGTCAATTTGCTGCACTTTTGATATCTAGTTTTGTATAATGTAATTACAAAATAGAGACATTTTAATGTTTCTATTCTGCCCTTCGCATTGGTCACCATACATAATTAATTTTGACATGTAGACATAGGTTTTGACATAATTCTGATGTATGGCTTCATGCCAAAAGTACATGTGGGCCTGATTACTTGACAAGTTGTGGATAACTAAGCAGTATGTCCACAACTGTCTTTTGTAGTAACATACCTCAGTTGAAAGATGAGATGTAGGTAAGGTAGACATGAGATAAAAACGCTTATTACAGTGACATCGTTTTTAGCTATTTTACCCAATTCCAAATCCAAACGCTATCCCAGCACCCAGCAAAGCTTTCTATCTTTCGAAGATGAAATTCTTTTTTTAACTCTAAACCTCCCAAAAATAATTTCATAGGTTTCTATTTTCATTTTTTTTGTTTAAAATCGTCACATCTTCTACAACTGTGAGATACAGGCGCATGAAAAGTTGAATTAAATATTTTTCTAAAAACATCGCAAAAAACAAATTGTGACCCAGGATCATTTTTTTTTCTTGTTTGTATAAGGAATACATAGTTGACAGATTTAAAAGTGGAAGCTAAATAACAAAGATTGGGATTTTTTTTCTAGAATAATGTGACTGATATTTTGGGAACCTCAACATAAAATAAAAAATATTGTCAAGTTTCTCCTTACTTGTTTTATTATGAGGGTCCTTTTTTCCTCTTTTATCCTTAGAAGGTGTACCACCTTGTTCTTTATTACGCTCATTATTACGCAAAACATGTGTAAATCGACCATCTAAAACTCTCAAGATTTTTTAAAAAACTCTGCAGAGAAGGTCAAACAATTGGGCACGGGCACGTGCAAAGCAGGCAAGAAATGAAGGGCACCTTTATACTGATCGAAAAGGAACAGTGCATCGAGAAAAGCGCATGGAAGAGTTTAACCATAACTGTAGATACGGTTGTAATACAAATATCCCTAATGACAAATGCCAATATATTTTTGACAGTTATTGGGGACTTGGAAGCTGGGACCTTCAAATTTTTTTTTATGTTCTTGCATTAGCCTTCAAGATCCTGCAAGAAAAAACCTAATGCGAGCTATGTAAAGAGAACAAGCTGTACTTACACATTAGAAGGGTATAGAGTATGTAAGGCTTTTTTTTATTAAAACCCTTGATGTTAGTAATAAACGGATTATAATATTTTAATGAAAACAATGACCAGCACAAACTCGGTTCCTCACAAGGACCAAAGAGGTCCTTGAGAATAAAATAATATAATAAGAGATGACACCATTTACTTAATCAAAGAGCACTTAAAGTCGCTTGCTAAATACAGTAGCCATTACTCTAGGATTAAATCTCCAAATGTGAAGTATTTGAGCGTGGAACTGGCAATGAAAAAAATCTACACTTTGCATGTAGAACTGTGTATAAAAAGAAACGTAAACCCTGCGAAGGAGAGTTACTATAGGTATATTTTCCGTACTAATTTTAACCTTTCACTCAAGAGGCTTCACACCGATACGTGTGACAAATGTGTGACAAAATTACACTTGCGCAGGGCACAAGCTGCAAAAAATGCAAAGGATGATGATACATCGAGTTTCATAGATGACCCAACTACAGTAGTTGTATGCTTTGATTTACAAAGTCGCTTATAAGTCCTAGTTTAACCTGCAAAAAAGCATACTATAGCCGTCAACTTCGGACTTTTAATTTTTGTATGCATAATGCTGGCACTGGACATGCACAGATGTTTTGTTTCATAAAGGCCAGGGTAATCGTGATTGCAACGAAATTGCTTCCTGCCTTTGGAAATACATCCAGAGGCTGCAACCAACCGTTAAGCGCATATTTCTGTACAGTGATAACTGTGGTGGTCAAAACAAAATTCATTATATTGCAACGTTCTGGCATTGTGTAGTTCAAAAGACACAAATTGATACTATTAACCACAGGTTTCTGATAGTGGAATATTCATTCATGGAATATGACCAAGATTTCGCGATTAATCGAAAAGAGAAAAACAGAAACCATCAGTAGGTTTATGTACCAAGTATGTGGCCCGACAGCATAGTAAAATCTAGTAGGAAGTTTATGGTGACGCAAATGGAGGATAAAGACTTTGTGTCTTTAGATTCACTAGAACCTTACTTTAGGAAAAATGTACCAGGTATCAGTAAATGCAGCGTATGCATTTGAGAAAGCATATCCATACACACTGTGTTACACAGAAAGCGTCAACTTTCCTACATTTTACCAACTTCTCGTTATTAGCAGCAACAGGAGACAAGCCAAAAATCAAGAAACTTAAATTTGACAACTTACAGTCACTTTTAGCCATACGTTCCCCCTATCTCCCACGGCTTATTTAATACCTTACAATACGCTAATAGACCTAACAATGTTTCTGTCTCTAATTTAAGAACAATTTTGTAACTCATATCTGTTGATGTATTTTGTGTTCAATTTACATTATATTTCAACCTTAGTTGTATTTTTTACTTAGTCCAAATTTTCATATACAAAAAAACTCTGTCAATATCTGGTTCTTTTTTTGGAAGCCAAGGGGTATAAGTGATCACTCTTATCATCTTATCAAAGATTGTAAATAAGGGCAAAGAAAAATCTAAAACTTATTCTACAGCTTATGTAACACTCCCAAGGTATTTTAAAAAGTGTTACATATGTATAAAATAATTACTTCCAATTTTAAAAGAAAGTTAAACTTAAACCTTCTTTTGCTCATTATCAATATTTAGTCGCTTGTACCCCTTGGCTTCAAGGCTCCTTATTTTAACTTTGGCTTTTACTATAGATGTGTGGTCTCGTAAGATATTTTTCTTGTATATTCATTTCTCAGAGTTCCAAAGCCTGTAGATACTATTAAATATTTTCTGTTACAGAAGTTTAAAAATTCAATCAAATCAGATCTCATCGATAACTGCCCGAAGTGCAGCGATCTGGATTGTGATTGCGTGAATGACAGTGAAACTGGTCCGATGCTCATAGTAAAAAACACCGCTGATATTAAACCCGTTCAAAACGATAACAAAGAAACTCCACTTTTTACCGCTGTCAGTACACCAAATATTCCACAACAAACCGAAGTGGAGGATGTTAAACTAGGGAAAGCCTCAGCGAGTATGATAACGTGCAAGAGGAGAGAAAAACGAATGAACAAGTGTAAGATTAAAGATTACCGCAGTATGATAAGCAAACAAGTTGAAGCTTTTATATGAATGACTTTTGATTTGAAAGTCACACTGTTAATAAATTTTTAGTTTTCACAACAAATTGTATTATTTCTTTAAAAACTTTAAAATACACTTTATTGCTCAGTGTAGTGTCATGTGAATATCAACACGTATTTTCGAACTAGGTTCTAATTTATGAATTCCATATCTGAAGTGAGAATACGAAAGGGCTGCAAAATACGCTTTTAGAGCTGTTATGACCTCATCATACTGATGAAAAACGCTTTCCCACGCATGAATTTTTTTAGGTATTAAAATAGATTTGGGTCACTAGGAGCAAAATCTGGTAAATCCGGTGGGTGCTCTAACAATTCGAACTTTAATTAATAGATTTTAGTCATTGTCAAAATGCTCATATGATACGGTACGTTCTCCTAATGAAAAAGGATTTTTTTTCTGCAAATAAGGTCTGATTTCATGAATTATTTCCTTCAGCTGATCTAAAAGGTTATAGTAATTTAATGAATTTATTTTTTTACCAGTTTACAAGTTATTTACAAACAAAATTCTTTTCGCATCCCACAAAGCTGATGCTAAAACCCTCTTGGCAGATTTCTGGACACCAATTTGTTTCGGATGCGTAGAACTAGGTTTACATCACTCTTAGCGTCTTGTTTTGGTTTAGGTTCATGATGATAGACCCAAGTTGCTTCCATAGTGATGAATAAATGCACAAAATTTACTTCATACTTTGGAAAATGTTGCTGAGAAAGTCGCATTCGAATGTACTTTCCAATGAGATGCTTAGGGCTGCTACTGAATCTCTTTCAGTCACTCAACAATTTTCAAATTTGATATCATCTATTTTTTCTACAATTTCTGGTGTAGCTGCTGTTCTTGGATGTCCTTGAGGTGGATCGCCATCAACGTTTGTACAACCACGTTTAAATTCAGTAACTCTTTTTCTACTGGGCTAATTAAAGTACTTAAATACTTTCAACATGAGTTCATAAACTTTATTTGCTTTAAACCTTCCAAAAATAAAAATTCAATCGCTGCACGTGTCACTTCAATCGCTGCACTTCAAATATTATGTCACGTCGATACTAAATGGCTTGTAAACAAAGATTAAATTTCCAGATTGAAATGAAATTTCACATACGTTGATATGAAGAATGTGCCAACATAACAAAAAAAATAAGATAGCAACGCCCCCTCTTATTGAACTGCAAAACTTATTGAACAGTCTATTAATTAAAATTTTTTGATAGATTGAGAAAATTTTCAGGATGAATTTATATTTTAATTTAGATTTGTTTGCTTATTGAAGTGTGGTACTTTTGTACATTCCATATTGCTTAGAACTGTGTAAAAATGTGCCTTATCGAAATATAAAACGTAGTATAAAATGAGTTATGCTATAAGAAGTGCAAGATCAATCGATATGACGGTTTTTTGGCTATAGTATTATTTTTTTTACAGCTAAAATATTGCAATATCTACAACAATTGCTACGTACTTTGATTTTCTTATGTTTCTAAGACATTAGATTTGTAACAGTATGCAAGAATTATTTAAAAACATGTCAAATATTAATGTATCAAGTACTTTCTTGTTTTTCGGCCCACCTTATTCACTAAATTAGCTTTATTAATAATATATATGCTTAGTTAGTTACTGATATACCATATGCAATATCTGCATACAGTTGTACCTATATCTTTTATTATTGAATTTAATGAGATTAGAGTAATTATAAAATTTTAAAGTGTATACAAATATACACTTCAAATCAGACCTTTTGATCAGTTGATGAAAATGATTACTAAAAATAATGCTATAGTCAAAAGTTCACTAACAGCTGAGATAGTTACTGTGTTGTGATATTCAGAGTTCAAAAACTGTCTTGAAAATAAAATATATTTATTAAAATGTTTGTGTTTTCTTTTTTTTTCCATTTTAATACACCTCGTTGTTCTCTTTTCCAATTTCATAGGAAAAAAAGAGAAGAACTAGGCATCCGCTACAAGAAAATGTATTGGTTGATAGAAAGGCATTCCTCTCTATCCATAAATAATAAACTCCTAATCTATAAACAAATACTGAGGCCAGTATGGACCTATGGCTGCCAACTCTAGGGCTGTGCCAAGCCTAGTAACATCAAAGTAATCCAGGTATTCTAGAATAAAGTGCTGAGGAACATCGTAGATGCGTCTTGGTACGTTAGGAACAACGATCTTCACCGAGACCTCAAGATGGAAGACGTCAATCAGATAATCATAAAAAATTGCAGGGAGCCATGAACAACGACTCTAGACAACATACGAACCTAGAGAGAAGGCTCAAAGGACAAAGTCTTTTGAACTGGTATAGTGAGTGAGTGAAAAGCAGAGCAAAGTGTTGAGCGAGTATGCATGCTAAATTTAATGCTATTTATTAGAAATAATAGGAAAGATACTAGTGAGTAGACACCTAATTTTAAGTTTTCATTAGTAATTTAAGTTAGAAACAAATTGATAATTGGTCTTACTGACCAGATTTTAATGTAAGTACATTTCGGTGTCTTTGGTAAAAAAAATGACTAGCCAATTTACAAATAACACTTCATATTGAACTTTTTTTATTGCTGAGTTGTTTTTGATTTATTTAAATATTTTTGTACCTTTGCAATTATTTAAAATATCTGTTTATTACACATAAAATATCATAATATACACATCGCAAAAGCATTTTTTTTTTAAATTATCTTTTGACAATATTATTTTTTCTTGGGATCAAATTAACCCCAAGTGCCTTAAATTGTAGAAATATTTCACCTCCCCACTTAAGGGTTAAAGTTCATTGATAAAAGACGAGTTATAACATTCTTATCAAACCATGCTTTTAAACAGTTTTGATAATTGTCATGACGACAACAATTTGCGTCTGTAATAATTACTGTTTTTTCTTAAAAGAGACAAACTCGTTTTGTGATTTAAATACTTGATTGTATTCTTGGAGTTATCCGATTAATATCTCGTTTATATATTGGCCGCAAGAGAATGCCGCAAAACTTGGTATAGATACCTCGCTCTTACCCATTGTTTTTGTCTCCGATAATAGCTGAAGGCGGCTACTGAACACAGGCGTAAGCCAATCATTTCTTTTAAGGTTAAGATGTCTTATTGAATGAATTAAGCTACTAGACAAAAGTATAATATTAAATTTAAATAATTAAGATAAATCATGATATTTGGAAGATACGTGTGTAAAAATTAAAATTAAGAAGTTAAGAAGGGAGTAAACTTTAGAAAACTATCATGAAGTCAACACTAAGATATAATGTGGACAAGCGACCCCATTTAGCAAGAACAATTGTATCAGTCAGCTGATAGTGGAGAAACAATTCTAGCAAAATTAACGTAAATAATAATTCTTAATCTATATTGGAATCAGAAAGGTAATATCAAAATAGAAAATGAGTACGACAGGGATGTATTTTGTCACCGCTGCTATTTAATGTTTATAGTGAAAGCATCTGTCAGGAAATCCTTTTGTAAGCAAACAAAGAAATCGTAATCAATGAAAAGGTTTTAAATAATATTCGATAGGCAGACGACACTGTACTAGTTGCAAGAACAGTAGAAGAATTACAACGATTATTTACAATTATAAATATTGCCCGCAACAATTATGGCATAAATATCAATATAAAAAAAAACCAAGTATATGGTCTTCGGTAAATACATAACACAATCAGCAAATATTAGTATAAACGGCATTCAAATTGAAAAAGTATCAAGTTACAAATATTTGGGGACTTCAATAAACGAAACTGGAGACCAAACAATGAAATAAAAAGACGTATCGAAATTGTCAGGGTCACCTTCATAAAGATGAGGAAATTCTTCTGCAACAGAGATATTAGCATCCATCTACGATTAAGAATGCTAAGGGGCTACGTATTAACACGCTATTATACGGCGTAGAGGCCTGGATTCTCAACAGAACAACATAAAAAATATTGAAAGTTTTGAGATATGATGCTACCGTCGAATGCTGAAGATAAGTTGGGTTGAAAGAGTCACAAATTTTGATGTAATACGAAGAAGGAAAAGACCCAGAAATTTTGTTAACGATTTGGGTCACCTGATGAGAGGACATAAATGCGCATTATTTCAAAATATAGTGCAAGGAAAAATAGAAGGAAAACGGAATCTAGGTCGTAGAAGCATGTCATGGTTGCGTAATTTGAGAAAATGGTTTGGCTGTCCCACTAATGGACTCTTTAGGTCAGCTGTAAACAACGTCAGGATAGCCTTGATGATTTCCAATCTCCGATAGGAGTGGCACAACAAGAAGAAGAAAACAATTTAAACTAAACAACATTTCTATTTGCAAAACTCTAAAGCTCTATATATCCCCTAAGATTCTCTTCTAAATTATTCCACATAGGTAACATAATGACCTCCTATTACTATTCTCTTCTACGTTGGAATATCTGTTATTGTTTTCTTATTGTTCTTAGAAAGATTTGTTTCATTCTTACCCTTTTCTTCTTTAAGTTCCGCTGTATCGAAGATTGAAAATAATTCTGGCAATTATAATTTTGTTTTACAATCCATCCATGATATTTTCATAAACGCCGGTAACACAACATTTCGAATGCTTCCAGATTTTTAATGTTGGATTGTTTCAGTGTCTAGCCCTCAACCTCATACAAAAGCGTGATAGACTGGTGATAAAATACACCCTTGGCGTACCCCACGAAGAGTCTGGATATCCTCAGTCAGCCTGACAACGAAAAAATTGAGGAGGACACAACGTAAAATGAAGAAATCAATGCTTGAAATATGCGTGAAAAATAGACTAATAAACGAGGAAGTTTGTAGACGAACCCGAGTGAAAGACATTATCGAACGTATTGGAAGCCAAAAATGGAGATGAAGAGACATGTTGCAAGAATAAAAGACAGTAGGTGGATAAGAAATTTCTTAAAAGCATACCACAGGCCGATAAGCGAAGACGTGTAAGACCTCCAACATGATGGATCGATGACATTAAAAGAATTGCAACCAAATGAAATACAGAGGCATAGAAAAAAAAGATAGAAAT